TTCGTCAGGGGCCGCCTCGGTGACAACGAGGCGACGGAAACTTTTGTTCGACGCTCCCAGGTGTCCCCACCCCCGTCGATGTTTCTTTCTTTCGTTTTCTTCGGCTTTTACGAGCGCCCCGGCAAACAACCGACCTCTCGTTTTCTCTTTTTATTTATACGTTCCGGCGCGGTGGCTCGTTCACGACTACGAGGAGATGAATCGGGTTCTAACTTGATTGCGGAACTTCTTGCCCCGAGCAGGTCTCTTTAAAAAATTACTAGGTGTACTCGCGGACAGAGCTCGGCATTATTCGAACACAATTTTGTTCGAGTGACGTACAAAAATTTTACCGGGGAAACGGTATTGGAATCGATTCTTGGAGCCGAGGTTTGTTCGTACAATAATATTTCGAATAAATTCTTCGGATCAAATTTTATTCGTACAATATTATAAATTCGTTGAAACAAATCTTATTCGAGAAATAAAAATTCAGGGAAATTCTTCGAGTCAAATTTCATCCGAATAAATTCTTCGAATCAAATTTCATCCGAATAACGAATTCTTCGAATCAAATTTTATCCGGATTATATATCGAATAAATTCTTCGAATAAGATTTCATTCTAAAAGCATCTCGCCTTGCTTGGCGTCCTACAATCTCTTTTTCCGTCTCAACCGAATACGTTAAATGCGCCCAAAATCATCGAATTCTACGTATAGCACGGAAATACATGACCTCGATCGTCGAATCCATTCTAATTCGGTGGCGAAAGTGTAAAAATACACCGAGTAGAATATTTACGCCCAGATCATAGCGTGTAGCCTATCCTGGCGCGATCAGAGATAAGAGATTTAAGGGAGGATTAAAAATAAATAACGTACGAGATATAGCGAAGCGAGCCGTGGCCGCTTTGTATGCCGGCTGAAGCTCCGTTGGCTGCTAACAAGACCTAGTTCGCGACTGGGGAAAAATTGCTTCTCGTGAGCAAATAAACCGGGATCCCGGACACGGTGCAGCTGCGGGAGACGCGCGAAGTGTGACATTTCGACCGCACTTTCGAGGACACCAGAAAACACAGCGAACGCGAGCTGTATTTCAACTGCAGAAGCATTTAGGCGTCGCGCTCGGGGCGATCCCGAGCACCGGCGACTGAGTGCTGGAACAATTATAAGTACCGCCGGAAGTCACCGGCCTCCCAGCCCTCCACCCTCGGCCACCCCTGGCCACCCTCTGCCACCCTCGCCCTCACGACCCCCCGGTTCCGCCTACTCGCACGCTTCCCTTCGTCCTTCCGTTCGGTACGTCCGTCGGCCGTCTCTTTCTGCCGACAGTCTCTTTCACCCCGTTTCACCACCACCCCCGCCCCGCCGTGCCATCGTGCCCAGGGGGTATTTTGTCACCACCGTAATTATATTTCTCCCTTCAACCGATTCTTCGGGCGCCAGCCAGGAGAAAATATCAATACTGCCGTTAAACCGGCAGGACCAGCCCTGACTCGGCGCCTGCAACCAACGACGCTGACGATAGGGGTTCTGCCGATGATAGCCCGATTAAGATTAGAGGATGTTACCGGAATTAAAGAGTGGCCCCGCGCACTCGAATCTTGCGGGAAACCACGCTCGCGCCGAAGCACGAGCTCTCCGGTTTCTCCGCGTTTCCGTTTTCTAAGTTCGCGTATTAACCCTTAACCTTTTAGGCACTATAGTGGGCTTACTCTAGTAGCTTACTCGGTCATCGTTTGAATTAAATAATCGTCTTCATATGCATTGTTTCACGCTTCTTTTGTCTTCACATCGATTTACAACAATCTTAACAATATACAGACAGAATATACAGACACTCTGTACAGTACATATCAGACTCTGCCGTCCAGAGAAATAGCCTCGCGCAGAATTCAGCCGTACCTAAAAGGTTAACGGTCCAATGCCACCATACACGCGGCAGAAATCAATAAAACCGTAAAATCTGGCAGGAAATATTGGAAGAACAGGCACGATTGTTTCGATAAAAATATATCAACGAAGTTTTATTCAAAAAATGAATATTTCTCTTCTCTATATTTGATAGAAAAATTTTCAGTAAAAAATTTCTCTTCGTCTGAGAAAAACAGTCTGGACTTGGCAGTGTGTAAACTGGAAATAAATAGTTTTGATCCCCTAACATTGGAAGAGACTTGGATAGTGTTTGGGTTTGCTCCGAGCGAACAGTTCGATGACGCCATTGTGCGAGTCTTTGGATTGGTCGTACTTTCGTCGACGTTGCGTAGACTATAGGCGAGAAAAATTATTTTCGATTTCGTGTGAAAATCGCTCCGACTGCAAAGGATTAATCAAATCAGGAAGACGTTAAATCTGAAGAAATATGGTTGGCGTGGCAGTCGAAGTGTTAAAGATATCTCCGCAGAATCGTCGAAACGATTGTCGTACGTTCAAGCGTGCACTTCACTTTTCCTGCATTTCCACTCCCCGAAGATTTTTTCCGAGTTTCCATGCGGGCTCGCTATCTTCGGTTTTTATCGACCTGGCTCTCATAAACCTCTGCACTTCATCCCTTTATTGCATTACTACAGTCCCCAGGATTTTCCGCTATTGCTTTCGTTATTTTTGCCAGACATCGCGTCCTCTTCCCTTGCACTCTATTTTTGTTTTGGTGTTTTTTCGTAAATCCGATCCAGAGGAAGGTTTACCGTTTAGATGGTAACTATCTCGTTACCGTGTTAATAATTTGTGTAGATGAAAAGCATGAAATAGTCTTATAAATTCAAAAATTTTTAATTTATTTGAACTAAATTCAATCTTAAATATTATAATAAATTCATTGAATAAAATATGTTGAATTGGGAATTCATCGTATAATTGTTCGTGCATTCTTAAAATCTTTAATGTTTATATTAGGTCTACCAGGAAAGTTCTGTCCGTTTTTGAATTGAAATATAACACAATTTTCATACATTTAATAATATTTATTGTAGAATATACTTTCCATCGTTACTTGTGACTTCTTGCCAGCGCGATGGCAACTTGTAAATGTCATTTTTAAAAAATGATTTATTTTTAGAGGCGAAAAGCTCAACTAGTGCTTGGTTGACATCAGCTTCGGTTTTGAATTTTTTTTCCTGTAAAAAGTTTTGCAAAGAGAGAAACAAGTGATAATCGGAGGGTGCTCTAGGTCTGGGGAGTATGGTGGATGCGACAGAATTTCCCAGCCTAGCTCTGCGGTTTTCTGACGAGTCTCCAAAGCAGCATGTGGTCTGGCATTATCATCGGTAGCCATGTTTTCACGATCGCGTCTCACTTAACACCTTATCGACCGCTAGCTATTTATCGGCTTTTCGATTGCCAATGTTTATCGATCGATAGCCTATTAATCGACTTTTAGCTATCGACGGTTTTCGCTTCTTTACTGTTTTGTTAGTAGCTGACCTCCCCATATCCTTATGAATTATAATTATAATAATTATTATTATTTATTATTATTTTTAAAGGAATAAGCACAACACAATGAATAGCGAAAATTTAGCCGGTACTGGGAGCAAATGCGCGCGCGACTAAGCCAGTCCTTACTGAGTGGCAGCCTCAACCACGACCGGACGATAAAGTGTTAATAATGACACGAGACATCTTTGTTTCAGTTTATTTAGGAGAGTACACGTGTGTAAATGCAATGATAAAGAGAGATAGTCATATATGTCTCAAATCAACATGTGCATATGGATTGAAACTTGAAGTGACACTATCGGACAGAACTTTCCGGTAGACCTAATATGTGTCTCAGTGTGAAACGGTCTTCTCATTGTGAAACAGCTATGAAAATTTTATTTTCGCTCAACTTGATCGCCAGACCAGCTCACGTCGGATACTACATAGCAACAACTCGCGAGATAACGGCTGCTATAAATACGCGAGTCTTCCGAGGCTGTAAAATGTGATAACTAGGTCTCCCGAGAATGTATCGTATGGCAATTTGTTCTCTCGAGGACAACGAGTACCGTAGCTAGGTCCCTTGAGAGAATGGAATGCAATAACAGGTCCTATGAAGTCATGGTACACGGTAACTAGGACCCATTGGGTTGAGGTATGCGGTAACTAAGTCCTCGGAGACTGTGCGGCGTAATAACAACACTTGTTTAAACCGTGGAATGCTACAACCGTTTCGAATATACCAGTTTATAGATCCAGACAGTTGCAGCAATCGATCTCAACAAATTCTGAGAACTTAGGCAGATCTGCAGCGGGTAAAAAAAGTATCGACACCCTTCTGAAAACGCAGTAACTTCTTAAAGCTCTATCAAATGACTTCTTTTCTTTAATTTTGCTGTTGGAATGACAAGAAATATAAAAAACTCATTTAAAAAATTTTTCAACCTAAACCTATAAACGAAATAACGTTATATCGTCTTAAAAGGTGTGCTAATAATTTGTTTACACACTGCAGCTCGAAGAATCCTCTAAAACTAAGATATAATTCTTAAACTCGGTTGACAAGGTAAAATATCCTCGTTATTAAAATTACCAAGTGCAGCTATGCGCGTAATTGATGAATTTCGAAAGTCACAGTGCGAACGGAGAAGATCGGAAAACTAGAAACTGTAATTTTATCTAAACTACTGTAGAACGCGGCGATCGCGATAACCCGACGATATCTAGCAGTTCCCACAGGCCAAAGAAGCCCCGAAAACTCCGCATCCCGTCCGAGGTTCCTCGCACCGCATTAAATCGCAAAGATGCACCGTGACCGGAACTTCTTACAAGCCCGAGGCTAGAATTTCAATTGGCCGGTTCCCCGTCCAAAAGTATGTTCAACAAACTGCGCCTCTGAATTCTGGAACACTAGAGCGCGGCGCGATCCACTAAAACTTCGAGCATATCCGCCTCTTTCATAAAGCAATACCCGGCCTCGCCAAGTTCGCTAAAACTTTGAATGGCTATTGGACAGCTTGAAACTCGACGCGGCAACCCCGGACACAGCCAAACGGTTCCGCGCTTCATCGAGCGGGCGACTCGAGTATTTAGTACTCACGTTTTCGACGGTGGGACTCGGTAGCGCCCACTGCACCGTGGATGTCGCGGCCGCTGCGCTCACAGGACGTCTTTTGTTCACGAAGTCGACTGGCAGACTGTAATCGTCGCACAAGGAGACCTGCGGAACACAATAGACCGTGTTTAGACCTTCGCATGACCTGGAACTTTCGTTGACGCGGCGCGAGTCGTAAACCGAGCGAATGGCGTCGTCGGAATCGTTAATCCTACGCGACGGGTTCGTTGTTCATTTTTTAGTAGGGCTTCGCCTGTTCCTTTGACCCTTTCGCGCCGAGCGCCGCATATATGCGGCACCCACTCGACGACCCGTGGGTACGGGCGCCGCATATGAGCCGTTTATTTTGAAAATGGCATAAGTCACTTTACCGTAATAAAAGTGCTGATTTTTTAATGTCTATATGAAATGGCAATATTTTGTGACACGACGAGTATACTCGTCGTGCGTAAGAAGTAGTGACCATTGGCTATTTGACACTAAACCTACCAAGCAGTAATACTAATTGGCATGTACTGCGTCACAAAAGTGAGAAGACCGAATTTATTTCGAATTCGTAAAGTTTTTATTAGGGTGCCCCATAAGTTCTTTCCGCGCCGCGCTATGAATGACTCTAACTGACTGTGTTTATGCAAACACGCAGGCTTATCTTTTGGCTGTTTAGGGTATCGGTTTCAGTCGTCCCAGAGCTCTTTTAGAGTACGTTTCGTTGGTGACAAAGTTCCTTATCAAATCTTTTCTGCGCCGTTCGCCAGAATTGGCGAACCGACGCGGCGTCGTTTTTCATCAAGACAACGCAAAACCGCATGTTGCGTTGGTCGTAAGACAAAAATTATTGTAGTTTGATTGGGACGTTCTATATCTCATCCTCCGTACTCCCCAGACATTGTTCCATCCGATTATTGCTTGTTCTTCTCGTTAAAACATTCTCTCCTTGAGAAACCGTTTAAATTCGTAAGCGAAATAAAAACGCACCTTGATCAATATTTTGCAAATAAGTCTCAAAGACGGTATAATGAGGCTTCCTGAAAGATGGAAGAAGGTAATAGAGCAGAACGGTTCGTATATAACTCGATTTTTTAATGTCTATATGAAATGGCAATATTTTGTGACACGACGAGTATACTCGTCGTGCGTAAGAAGTAGTGACCATTGGCTATTTGACACTAAACCTACCAAGCAGTAATACTAATTGGCATGTACTGCGTCACAAAAGTGAGAAGACCGAATTTATTTCGAATTCGTAAAGTTTTTATTAGGGTGCCCCATAAGTTCTTTCCGCGCCGCGCTATGAATGACTCTAACTGACTGTGTTTATGCAAACACGCAGGCTTATCTTTTGGCTGTTTAGGGTATCGGTTTCAGTCGTCCCAGAGCTCTTTTAGAGTACGTTTCGTTGGTGACAAAGTTCCTTATCAAATCTTTTCTGCGCCGTTCGCCAGAATTGGCGAACCGACGCGGCGTCGTTTTTCATCAAGACAACGCAAAACCGCATGTTGCGTTGGTCGTAAGACAAAAATTATTGTAGTTTGATTGGGACGTTCTATATCTCATCCTCCGTACTCCCCAGACATTGTTCCATCCGATTATTGCTTGTTCTTCTCGTTAAAACATTCTCTCCTTGAGAAACCGTTTAAATTCGTAAGCGAAATAAAAACGCACCTTGATCAATATTTTGCAAATAAGTCTCAAAGACGGTATAATGAGGCTTCCTGAAAGATGGAAGAAGGTAATAGAGCAGAACGGTTCGTATATAACTCGATTTTTTAATGTCTATATGAAATGGCAATATTTTGTGACACGACGAGTATACTCGTCGTGCGTAAGAAGTAGTGACCATTGGCTATTTGACACTAAACCTACCAAGCAGTAATACTAATTGGCATGTACTGCGTCACAAAAGTGAGAAGACCGAATTTATTTCGAATTCGTAAAGTTTTTATTAGGGTGCCCCATAAGTTCTTTCCGCGCCGCGCTATGAATGACTCTAACTGACTGTGTTTATGCAAACACGCAGGCTTATCTTTTGGCTGTTTAGGGTATCGGTTTCAGTCGTCCCAGAGCTCTTTTAGAGTACGTTTCGTTGGTGACAAAGTTCCTTATCAAATCTTTTCTGCGCCGTTCGCCAGAATTGGCGAACCGACGCGGCGTCGTTTTTCATCAAGACAACGCAAAACCGCATGTTGCGTTGGTCGTAAGACAAAAATTATTGTAGTTTGATTGGGACGTTCTATATCTCATCCTCCGTACTCCCCAGACATTGTTCCATCCGATTATTGCTTGTTCTTCTCGTTAAAACATTCTCTCCTTGAGAAACCGTTTAAATTCGTAAGCGAAATAAAAACGCACCTTGATCAATATTTTGCAAATAAGTCTCAAAGACGGTATAATGAGGCTTCCTGAAAGATGGAAGAAGGTAATAGAGCAGAACGGTTCGTATATAACTCGATTTTTTAATGTCTATATGAAATGGCAATATTTTGTGACACGACGAGTATACTCGTCGTGCGTAAGAAGTAGTGACCATTGGCTATTTGACACTAAACCTACCAAGCAGTAATACTAATTGGCATGTACTGCGTCACAAAAGTGAGAAGACCGAATTTATTTCGAATTCGTAAAGTTTTTATTAGGGTGCCCCATAAGTTCTTTCCGCGCCGCGCTATGAATGACTCTAACTGACTGTGTTTATGCAAACACGCAGGCTTATCTTTTGGCTGTTTAGGGTATCGGTTTCAGTCGTCCCAGAGCTCTTTTAGAGTACGTTTCGTTGGTGACAAAGTTCCTTATCAAATCTTTTCTGCGCCGTTCGCCAGAATTGGCGAACCGACGCGGCGTCGTTTTTCATCAAGACAACGCAAAACCGCATGTTGCGTTGGTCGTAAGACAAAAATTATTGTAGTTTGATTGGGACGTTCTATATCTCATCCTCCGTACTCCCCAGACATTGTTCCATCCGATTATTGCTTGTTCTTCTCGTTAAAACATTCTCTCCTTGAGAAACCGTTTAAATTCGTAAGCGAAATAAAAACGCACCTTGATCAATATTTTGCAAATAAGTCTCAAAGACGGTATAATGAGGCTTCCTGAAAGATGGAAGAAGGTAATAGAGCAGAACGGTTCGTATATAACTCGATTTTTTAATGTCTATATGAAATGGCAATATTTTGTGACACGACGAGTATACTCGTCGTGCGTAAGAAGTAGTGACCATTGGCTATTTGACACTAAACCTACCAAGCAGTAATACTAACTGGCATGTACTGCTTCACAAAAGTAAGAAGACCGAATTTATTTAGAATTTGTAAGGTTTTTGTTATAAAACTTGTTCCAATAAAATAACTTATTCAAGCGTTTTCCACGAAAGATTCTCGGAACTTTGCAGAATTGCAAAATAAGAAAGCGGTCACTTTGACCGCGGTAGATTTAGTGTTAAATTGTAATTTTAAGGAAAGCAAAAACATATCCTCAAATTTCAAGATGTTCAGAATATTTTGAGGCCAATCCTGCACGAAGTTGTTTACATTGTTATAAGAATAAAATTAGGAAAGAATCACGGTATTGGCGTTCGACGTGCAAAGTGCCATTATATGAGCCGTTTATTTTGAAAGTGGCATAAGTCACTTTACCGTAATGAAAAGTGGTGATTTTTTAATGTTTATACGAAATTATTTATACTGAGAAAAATATCAGTATCCTGAGATAACAAATACAAGTAAATCTTCTCGGAAGTTAGCATCCATATTTTTAAACGTGTTAAAACGTAAACCCTTAAATATATCGACTTAATAACAAAGTGACTTATGCCGCTTTCAAAATAAACGGCTCATATATGCGGCATTGAAATGAAGTGTATACAGAAGACGAAGATATGTAATTTGTAGGAAAAATGATCAAAGAACGGATTCGCGGTACGAGTGCAAAGATTGCGACGTTGGCCTTTGTATAGATCCTTGCTTTCAAATATATCGCACAGAATTATATTATCAGTTTTTACATATTATTATATTTTAATAATTTTCGTCTCGTTATTAATTATATTAAACATTTAATCGTTAGGCTTTGTAATTATATAAACACCTATGTTACCTATAATTTTGTAAGTCTTTTTAAATTAAAAATGTAAATATACTTGTTACATTAGAGCAACGATTGTTTCATTCGGCACAGTTATTATTTAAGATTTGGAACAACATATATACAGAAACCACGCGCACTGTGCATATTTCCGGAGCGAGTTTCCGTTCGGTGACGGTACTTCGGCGGATGGAGCTGCCGTAGCGAAAGGGTTAATAGGAATTCTGTACAGTTGAATTATTCGCGNAACAACATATATACAGAAACCACGCGCACTGTGCATATTTCCGGAGCGAGTTTCCGTTCGGTGACGGTACTTCGGCGGATGGAGCTGCCGTAGCGAAAGGGTTAATAGGAATTCTGTACAGTTGAATTATTCGCGTACGCTTCGTTTCTCCATTAAAAGATATTCTTGTAATTACATTTACAGTCACTTACAGTTGGTAAACATCGACGACCCTTATATCGGCTCTTAAATCTATGTACAGGGTGCCCCAGAAATGTCTCCCAATCCGAAA